TTCCTGACCCATCCCAACCCGTTCCCAGTCCCATTCCCAACCATCCAACCCCATTCCTGACCCACTCCCACCCACTCCTGCCCCATCCCAACCCATTCCCAGCCGATCCAGCCCCATTCCCAACCATTCCCAACCACCCCAACCAACTCCTGACCCGTTCCCAGTTCACCTCGACCCATCCCAACCCATTCCCAGTTCATCCCACCCATTCCTGACCCATTCCCACCCCATTCCCAACCATTCCAAACCATTCCTGACCCATTCCCAACCCATCCAGCCCCATTCCCGACCATCCCAACCCATTCCTGGCCCATTCCCATCCATTCCCAGCCCATTCTCAGCCACTCCCAGTTCATCCCAACCCACTCCCAACCCATCCCACCCATTCCCAGTTCATCCCAACCCATTCCTGACCCACCCCAACCCACTCCCAACCCATTCCCAGCCCATTCCTGCCCAATTCCCAGCCCATTCCTGTGGAATTCCCACCTTGGCATTGAGCTGATCGATACAGAAGTGACAAAGGGCCGCCCGGAAAAAATGATCCTTGGCGCTGTACTTGAGCAGGGGGCTGTCCATGGCCATGGAACCCACCTGGAAAACCAGGAAAAACCTGGAAAACTGGGATTCAGGGCATTGCCAGGCAGAGAGAGGAAAAGGAAGAGGAGGAAGGAAAAGGAAAAGGAGGAAGAGAAGAAGGAAAAAATTACAGGGAAGAGAAAGAAAAGGAGCTGAGGAAGACAAGGAAATTGGGAAAAGCAGAAGGATGAGGAACAAAAGAAGGAAAACGAAGAGGAAAAGAAGGAAAAGGAGGAGAAGGAGAAGAGGAGGAGGATGAGGAGGGTGAGGAAGGGCAGGACCTGCTCGTAGATGTCGATGGCTCGTGGGAACTGCTCGAGCTGCGCCGCAAACGTGGCCACTTTCAACAGGCACTTGTTGGCTGAGCTGGGACAAAATCAGCCCAAAATCAGCCCAAAATCACCCCAAAAACACCCCTAAAACATCCTCATCCCACAGACCCAACAAAATCCACCCAATTCCCAACAAAATCCACCAAAAACCCACCAAAATCACCCCAAAAT